TCTGGGTTCTCTGTTCTGTTCCATTGGTTTATATGTCTGTTCTTGTGCCAGTACCAGGCTGCTTTGATTATGGTGGCTTTGTAATATAGCTTGATATCTGGTATTGTGATCCCTCCAACTTTGTTCTTCTTTCTCAGGATTACTGTGGCTATTTGGGCTCTTCTTTTTATTCCATATTAATTTTTGGAGAATTTGTTCTAGGTCTGTGAAATATGCCATTGGTATTTTAATGGGGATTGCATTGAATCTATAGATTGCTTTGGGTAGTATGGACATTTTAATGATGTTGATTCTACCAGTCCACAAACACAGTATATTATTCCATCTGTTTATGTCTTCCTCTATCTCTTTTTTCAAAGTCCTGTAGTTTTCTGAGTAGAAGTCTTTTACCTCAGTTAAGTTATTCCTAGATATCTTAATTTTTTTGTTGCAAAAAATTATTTGTTTAGTTTCTCTTTCTGTGAGTTCATTATTCTATATAATAAAAGCTTAATATGCTAAATGTCCAGTTGTCCATTCAACCAATCAAGTGTAATATGCTAAGGCTGCTCAACTACTCCCTATGATGTGCATGCACTAACCACCAGCGGGCAGACGTCCTGACTGGTAGGTTAGCTTGCTGCTGGGATCCAGCTGATCAGGACTGAGTGAGATGGGTCGGACACACCCTGGAACCCTCCCGTGGTCCCTCCCTGGTTGGCCAACCTCCTGCATCCCTCCCTGGCCCAGATAGTGCACAGGTGGGGTCCCTCGGCCTGGCCTGTGCCCTCTTATAATCCGGGACCCCTCAGGGGATATCAGAGAACCAGTTTCAGCCCAATCCCGCAGGCAAGACCGAGGGACCCCACTGGTGCACGAATTTGTGCACCAGGCCTCTAGTTGGTGTATAAGAAACCTGTAGATTTCTGGGTGTTAATTTTGTATCCTGCTACAATGCTGAATTCATTTATTAAGTCTAGTAGTTTTTTGATGGAGTCTTTAGGGTTTCCTATGTACAGTATCATGTCATCTGCAAATAATATCAGTTTTACTCCTTTTCCAATTTAGGTGCTTCTTATTTCTTCTTCTTGTCTGATCACTATGGCTAGCACTTCCAGTACTATGTCAAACAGGAGTGGTGAAAGTGGGCATCCCTGTCTTGTTCCTATTCTTAGGGGAAATGGTTTTAGTTTTTCCCCAATAAGTATGATGTTCACTGTAGGTTTGTCATACATGGCTTTTATTATGGTGAGATATGATCCCTCTATTCCCACTTAGCTGAGAGTTTTCATCAAAAAAGGATGTTGTATTATGTTGAATGTTGATATGATAATGATTTTTTTGATATGATAATGATTTTTTTTGTATTTCAATTTGTTTATGTAATGTATCACATTTATTGATTTGTGAATATTGTACCAGTTTTGCATCTCTGGAATAAATTCCACTTGGTCATGGTGTATGATCTTTTTAATATATTGCTGGATCCGATTTGCTAATATTTTGTTGAGGATTTTAGCATCTCATCGGTTGAGTATTGTATGTGCCCTGACCGGGGATTGAACTTGCAAGCTTGGCATATTGGGACTATGCTCTAACCAACTGCACTACCCAGCCAGGGCTTCAG